ATACGTCTCCAAATGACCTGAGTAAACATAGTTGGGACTGGGGAGAAAGGGAGAGAGGGTAATAATTTTATTTTGAATGTATTACCTTTCCTAGGCAAAGCAGGGAGAGAAAATTTAGGAGTAACGTCTTGTAGGACAATGGACATCATATTATACCCATGAACAGAGGATGACCTATGGGCTTTGTAATAGGTTTCATCTTGGGAGAAAGGGAAGAAAGGCCATTCCTCTCTTGAAGTAGGTAAACTTCTTAAACCACTTCCTGCTCCAGAAAATATTGTTTCTGAAGACTTCTGACTTAAAGATCATGTGAAGGTGGTTGAAGGAATGATAAGATCTAGAGATATGACATAGCTGACCCTAAGATATAAAGGTGGTAAACAGAAGGTTCTAATTTTTCCTTGGTCCCCCCCCAATGGTGGATAGAAAGCTCCATCTCCTTCATGAATATTTCTGAGAATGGAGATCCACAAAAGAAGGTCCTTCAAACAGAGATGCCTAAGAAAATATTTGGAGTAATTCATAATCATACTCGTAAATTTCTTAGATGTTCCTAGAAATTTAAGGCATGTCTTCCATGAAACTTCATTTTTGAGGGTCAAACAAGAATAAAGAAAGAACACTTATGTACAAAGCCCAAAAATGGGTCATTAGACTCATATATAATTATAATATATAATATATATATAATATATAATAATATAATAATATATAATATATATAATATATAATAATATAATTAGATATAGAAAAGGCCTTTGAGAAAATACAGCACTGCTTTATGTCTAAAAATATAATAATAATAACCCTAGGCATATATAAAGATTTGATGAAAGAATCCACAAACTTAACAAGTATAAACTTTAATACAAATGTCATAAATTTACCAACAAAATGAAAAAGAATAGCAAAATAGGTAGAACAGAACTCAAAATTTCCCACATAATAAAAATACATTTTTTTTTAAAAAAGAAAATGAATATGAGGAGTTGCCTTTGCTTTTTCTAAGTATGCTTCAGGCAATTACCCAAAAAGCAGATTTTCCGATTATGATTTTAGAAGACATGTTAAAAACAAATACCATCAAGAGATACAAATGGAAACTACATTATGCTTAAAGGAACTCTAGAAAATGAAAATATTATTAAATAGATCCTATGTCATTTTAAAGAAAAGCTAATCAAGATGCAAAATGACATTGACAGTAACACCATAACTGTAGGTGATTAACATTTTTCTTTTATACTTACAGAAATGTAACAGAACAAAAAGAAGGAAAATACAGATCTGAAAAGATTTGAAAAAATTAGGTTTGAAATGCCCATAGCAATTTCTGAATGAGACCTACGTATATATGTGTGTGTGTGTATACGTATACACATGTATGTATTTGCATGTACATATTGCACATACATGCATACGGATATGCATCTGCACCTATGTATATGCATACATTCAGCATCACATGGTGTCTTTACCAAAATTGATCATGTGCTACAATACAAAGAAATGATAAATAAATTTAGAAAGGCAAAATTATTAAATATATTTACAGATCATAACACAATAAAAATTATAACCCAAAAAGGAAATACAAATAAGCAATCTAAATAGAAACCAAGGAAACTTTGAATAACAGTCAAGAAATAGGTCTTGTTTGAAATAGGTCAAGAAAAAATATAAACAATTTTAAAGAAATTCATAACAATGAGACAAGATCCAGAATAAATAGGATTTAGCTAAACAGTCCTCAGAGAGAAATTTATCTTTCTGAAAACATTAATGAAATAAAAAAAGAAGGCTAATAAATTGACCATGCATTTTTTAAATAGAAATATCAATTAACCTCAAAATAAGAACAAAGAAAAATTTGAAAATAAAGAATAAAATTGAACATAAAATCTACTGAATTATGCAAGAAAAGTTATTAAACCTTCTGACTGAATGATCTTACTACTGAATTTATATCCTCAAGGATGTCAATCAATGACAGAAATGTCCCATTAATACCAAAATATTCAAAACAGAATTATTTGCTGGGAATAAAATGTGTGTCTACTTATTAGGGCATGACTGTGGTATATAAATGAAATAGAATATTCTTGTGCTATGTATGAGGAATGGCAAATATGGATAAATAAAAGAAATATGGTGAGACAAATAAATGGTACAGAGCAAAGAAAGGAAAACAAAAAGAACATTATTGTCATTGTATACATTGTTAACAAAGATGACACTAAAATATCAGAGATTTAAGGTCCAATATAATGGCAATGGGCAGCGAGGTGGCACAGTAGACAGAGCACTGGGCCTAGAGTCAGGAGACCCGAGTTCAAATCCCCAGACCCCAGGCACTAACTAGCTGTGTGACCCTGGGCAAATCACTTAACCCTGTATGCCTCAGTTCCTTACCTGTAAAATAAGCTAGAAAAGGACATGGCAAGCCACTCCAGTATCTTTGCCAAGAAAATCCCAAATGGGGTCACAAAGCATTGATGTGTTAAAAATAAAATATATCAATAAAAATAGAATAATTTTTAAGGGAAAGTAAAATTCTAATAAAATGCTACTTCAATCCTTCATAATGTTATAGCAATAACCCTAGGTTCTCCAAAGCTGCCATCATGGCAATAATGAAATCTGTCAAACTGGAAGAAATTAGTCTGACAATTGTCTCCTTCTTGTTCAGGAACCTGGTTAAGGACAACCAGGTTCATGACCAGGAAGGTCACGTGGCCAGAAGGTGCTAAACACTTTAAAGTTCTATTCTGATGCCTTCCTGTAGAGGAGTACTGGCCCCGAGTACTTAAAGAGAGTATACTGGCAGAGTACAATTTCTGATACTTCCTACCAATCTGGAAAGGGTTGAGTAGGGGCTCAGTGAAGGATTATTATCCAAGGAACTGCCCAGTTAAGTGCAGAGGAGTCATATTCTCAAGCCTTGAACAAATGATTTTTATTTTATTCATTCATTTATTTGTTTGCTTGGTTTTTTTTTTTTTGCCTTAGCATCTCATTAAGCCATCAACCAAAATTCAAAAGAGTTCTGATCTGCATGAGAAAAGTACTTGAAGTCATGAAATCTTGCTTCTTTTGAAATTCATAGGAGGCTTTCAATTGGAATGTTATATTCAACACTAAAAATCTTTCTATCTTGCCCTATGAAATTTTTAGAACATATCCAATAACTGAAATGAAGGAGTACAGGTATTCAATAACTTCACAAAGAACTATGCAAATATAGAAACATAGAAACAAAAGCTGATTTTCCTCCTGGCACTTAAAGGATTTAATTTTCTATGTAGGGATCTCTTGGTAAATATAATCTATGGAGGGATTATTTTTTATTTCATTGAGAGGTTGACGTATAGCACCATTAAAGGTACAGAGATATAGCTAGAAGAAAATAAATGAGAGAGCTCAAAATTGAGGTTTCTTTATGAGAGAGGACAGATAATGAATAGGAGGACAAGTAAAGGGGTATCAAAGGATAGGTGGTGCAACACTATGAAAGGAGGATGATATGCCCAGATTTAACAGAAAGACAGTATGCCATGGGAAAGAGCCCCATAACAGCTTTCAGAAGCCTGACTGTAAGGGCAATACAGAGAAGCCAGGGTGAAACCAAGCAAACCCAGCAAGGATGAAGCTTTGAGAAAATAAGATTTGGGTTACTATAGAAGAGAGGGAGGAGGAGGGAAAGGAGGAAAGGGAGAAGGAAAAAGGAAAAGGAAAAAGGAAAAGGGAGAAGGAAAAGGGAGAAGGAAAAGGGAGAAGGAAAAGGG